GCCCCCCTCCGCCCTCTCTCTCTCTCTCTCTCTCTCTCTCTCCCTCACTCGGTGTCCCTTTCTGTCCCCCTCGCTCTCTCACTTCACTCCTCATCCCTTCGTCCGCTGTTTGTACGTTTGTTTGGCTGTATTGTGTGTGTGTTGTGTGTGTGTGTGTGTGTGTGTGTGGGCAAGGAGGGCTATCATGGACTCTGTGGCTCCTTTTGTGCTGCTTTTGCTGCCCGGCCTCCATTGGACAGCTGCCGGTAAGAATTTCATTAACATAATAATCAACGCTGGGTGAGGTGAGGTAGTTTTTTTTTGTTGTTGTTGTTGTTTTGCATTTTTACACGTGTTATGTTACCAAGAGGTGCTCGGTACAATAGTTGTAGTGCAGCAGTGAAAATCCATCAGCGTGATGAAGTCGTTTTTTTGGGGGGGATTGTCATAGTTGAATAACTTGAAGTTGAAAGTTCTCCCTCTTCTGTTTTCTAGAGGACACGAGCTGGACCTACACTGGTGAGTTACAAAGTTTCTTTGCTTATTTGAGATGGTTAAAAAAAAAAAAAAAAGCAGTTGTGTCATTTAGGACGCCTGAACTGGGGTGTTCATTTGTACGCAAGACAGTTTACATGAGTTAGTTGAATTGTTGGGTTTGGAAATTTGATTTTTCAACCAGGAGAGGAATTTTAAAATAGATATTTTTGTCCACAGCAGCGGTGGTCAACCTTACGAAAATTAACACAAAATATTGCAATAAGTACATTTTCTTTGTACTTATTCCAGTATTTGCATTAATCTTTTGCTTTTTTTATTCTTCTTCCTCTGAGCGTTTACTTATTTTTAGAAATGCACGGCGGGCCTCGTTAATTGCTCACAAGGGGCATATATCGCCCAATGGCTGCAGGTTCCTCACCCGTGACCAAAAACCTCTAATAACATTGTTTCAAGTTATCAAAAAAGATACAAGGCTTCCATAGAATGACTACCCAAAACATTTGAACAAATTGGGAAGGCTTGTGTGCATGTGTGTGCGTGCGCGATTCTCCCCGCCTTTTCTCCCTCTGTTTCCCCTCTCCTTGCCTCTCTATGCGTATTAGTTACAGTTGGGCAGGCTGGCGTGAGCACAGTGGTCACACAGAGATGATGGAGGGCTGCAAGGGGGTAGCGAGGAAGAAGGGCGCAGGCCAAAAAGGCAAGTGAAGAGAGGCAAGTGCACGAGGATGACCGTCACAGGCCAGCGTCAGAGAGCGAGAGGGTGAGCGCCAGGGCGAGCGTGAGAGGGAGACGGGACGAGGGGGGCCGAAGCATCGCCAATTGTGTCGTGTATTGTCGCGGTGCACAATAAACACACAGGTTATTGTGATGCGGACCCACACTGAGCGTGCCTATGCTCCGGACAATGGCGCAACGGGCATGAATGGGGCGCACAGCTGGCATGTATTCAGGGAGGGAGGCGCCAATGCACTGCATGCGTTTGGAGATACCAGTACCACTACCGGACACCAACTGGCTTCTATTCAAGCTGGTTTCGATGTGGGCTGAACCCAGATGCCTTTCTGCTTACCGGGATTTTAAATACACTTGTATACTCACATCTGTAAAAAAAAAAAAAAAAAAAAAACACCAACATGGATAAAAATAATCAAAGAAAGAAAAATCCACCACTAATATGTGATACTGGTCATGTCACATTTTGAGTTGTAGTCTGAACTAATCTAGCTCTCTGAGTAACCTTCATTGTAATTTTCAACCAGAATTCCATGGGTGTTTTTGTCTTCTTCTGTCTT